AAGTCCTGACTTCTTTGTCCTAGGATGGCTCTCTGATCTGACAGATCTTCTAGGGGCCACCAAAGCAAGTGGTTTTCTTTAAGGCCTGTTTTCTTGGAAAGGAAACCTCTTAATTCTGGTTGAATTTAATTATCAAATTTATAATTATTATTTTTAAATTTTTTTATTTGTTGTAATTAGTTAACTATAACAGTAGAATGCACTTCAATACATCTTATATAATGGAGTATAATTTCTCATTCTTCTGGTTGTACATGATGTAGAATCCCACTAGTCCTATAGTTATATATGTACGTAGGGTAATAATGTCTGATTCATTCTACTATCCTTCTTCCCCCATTTTTATTTTGGAAAACTATAGAGAAAAATGTCTACTGGTTATTTAAATTTAGATTATTTTTTAAAAATTAAATATATTTTTATTGGTTCTTTTTAGTTACACATAACATTAGGATTCATTTTTATATAATTATCAAAGCATGAAATATAATTTGCTCTCATTCAGTTTTCTTTCCTTTTCCTCCCCACTTCCCCTGGTTCCTTTTCTCTATCTACTGATCCTTCTGCTATTATAGTTTTTTTTTTTTAAATTAGTGTCTTGTAGATATACATGACAATAAAATTCACTGTGGTATATTTATTATGTACATAGGAAAGTTAAGTCAGATTCATTCCACTGTTCTTCCCTAATCCTAGTCCTTCTTCCTCCCCATCAATCCCCTTCACCTATTCCACGGATCTCTCTTTAGACACTTAATTGAAGAGTAACATTGCCAATCACAGCGTTGATTTGAATAGTGCTTACAGGAAGTTAGATCATATAAGATTCAAACTTCATGAATGCAAATTTCCAAGAAATTAATGGATATAATGATAGTCATTTTATAAATCATCTAGGTCATTGGGAGTATTGAATATAATATTATAAATTATTCAGGAGTGATCCTGATTGCACATGGTTTGTGGCAATATGCAATCGTGATAATATGCAGTTTGTCTAAAGTATGAATAACTTTCCACACAAAGAAGGCCAGATGATCCTTCTAGTGTTGGATATATGTGGAAAAGTTCCAGGACTGATAAAGAAATGGCCTTGTGCTTGTCTTAAATATTTCAGAATAAATTAAAAAGACAGAGAGAGAACAATGATTCTTGGGTTTATTAGCTAGTGTTTTGAATTGTAAACAACAGATTCCTCTGTTGTTAATTTAAGCAGAAAAGAAATTTATTGTATAATACTGTGTAGTTCACAGGTTCTTTGGGAGACTCAGGATATAGACTTAGAAGACATGACACTACTGATTTTGTGTCATTATGACTTTTGCTCCAGCAAAAAGCCCCCCTGCCACTAATCCTGGACACAGACACCATAACTTCCACTGCTGAGTCCAGACACTGGATGCCAGAATTTTTCCCACTGCTGCTCCCAGATGCTGGGCAGATGCCTCTGTGCTGACCGTCAGAGGCATTTCAGGTGGTTTCTGCTTATGAACCTGTGTTCTTTTATGAATCCAATTTGCATGTGGGTTTTATTATGGATGAATCTATCATCCTATCTGTGACACAAGCGCCGATTGGCTGAGCAAGTGAGTTTCTGGTTGCTTTGTGGAGGCGTGATTATAAAATTTGAGAGCCCATGAGGTACAGCAGGAAAGCTGTTCAAAAGATCCAGATGGCCACAAAAGGTGACAAAGATTCACTGTACAAGAAAGAATAAGGTGTTAAACTCTAAATAATTCTGCACGTAAGGGGTAGGAATTCTATGCTATAATATTATTTTCAGTTATGGGCTTTGCAAGGGTATAATCCTCATGAACATCAAAAGTTTTCTGTATTATAACACATACATGAACAGTTTACAAAAAATACAAAAATTGTCACCAGATTAATGGTACTTAGAAGGGATTTAGCTGAAACTTGAAAGTTTCTTATTTGAAGTAAAACAGATAATACAGCAGTCTGATTGGAATATCCTTAAGTATCACTACCAGAAGTTCTGAAAAATGTGTCTGAAACAGTTATGTGCTAGGCACCATGGCACATGCTTGTAATTCCAGGGGCTTGGGGGTCTGAGCAAGAGGATCACAAGTTTTAAGGCACCCTCAGCAATTTAATGAGGCTCTAAGCAACTTAGCGAGACCCTAAATAAAATAAAAAAGGCGGGGATGGGCTCAGTGTTTAAGCTCCTCTGGGTTCAATTCCCAGTACCTCCCTCCTCTAAAAAAATGCCTAATCAAGTAAGATACCAATTTTTATTTTTTTATATTTTTGAGCTTGATACAATAAGGAAGGCAGTTCTCCAGCTAGGGATACCAAAGAGGTCACAGGTTAACATCAAAGAATGAAAAAATATGTATATTTAATATATATATTACTTTATATAATTCATCAAATAATGAAAAATACATATATTTAATATATATATATATTTTACATATTTTCATTCTTTGGTATTAACCTATTATATATATGACAAATTATATACATGAAAATATAGTATATCTATAATCTGTTATATATATTTAATAAAGGCACGTGATATTTTGACATTCTTTCACCTTCCTGAGTGAACTAAGCTACATTACTTAGACAAAAGAACTGGCTTTTACTTCTTTTGAGCCCCTTCTGATTAGAACTGCTTCACAACTCTCTTGTCCATGGGTTCTCAGCAGGAAGAGCTAGTTAAATAGAAAGAGTAATAGATAATTTGGTAGCAAGAATGCTATTGATTTCTTAAATTATTTGAAGCTCAATGAAATTCTACTGTTTAGAAGAGATGCTTTAATAATGTTCCTTTCAGCTGAATGTTGCAATATCTAAACTTTTCTACTGCAGAACTTTTCAGAAATTATACTAAAATTGAGGGAATATGCTATTATAATACTTTTTATTTCCCAATATTTGCCCTATAGAAATAAGTGTTGGTCACATATATGAGTTGAATTTAAGAAGTGTAGTTTTGTGGTTAAGCAAATTTTGATTATTATTATGATTATTGTGGAGAAGGTATAATTACACTTAATTTTTTAAAAAACTACTCTGCATTTTACCAACAGGGTAAATTTCACTGAAGCACAAAAAATTGTTCTAAAGATAAGTTCCAAACTACCATCAACTTTCTATTTAGGGAGAGAAGAACGTAATTCAGTGTTAAGCCTCTGTCTCTTTAAAACAAAATGTGAGGTGGTGAGCTACGTGGCACTTTTGATTATATATTGAAACCACACTAAGTCCCTGAAATCCAAGGGAATATTGGGCTCTGGTCCTTTGTGCAGAATGCTCACATGAATGCTTACAGGAACCAATCCAGAAGCAAATTGCTGCTGATAGTAACTGACAGCATGAATTACTGCACTTTCAGAGACGCTGCCAGGATCAACCAGTGTGATCTCACTTTTGCTCATATGGCAAGCTGAATTTGTGCATGAACTAGAACAAACTTCCCAAGTTCAGGGAATGGCAAGGTCTCAGCAATTGTTTGAAAATAGCCAACATCTTTGAAATGAATCACTGGCATCTCAGCTCATACTTATAAAACTAGGGTTTTCTTTGATTAGTTTTTGATCCTAAGCATGTAAAGTCTTTTGCTAATGCAAAAGGAGAAACTGACTCATCTGCTCTTTGTCATATGAAACCAGAAACTCAGTGAATGCTTAGGATAGCATCAGTTTCTCCTCAGCAAGCTGACTTCCTTCTGGGTCCATCACTTGTTATGGTCTATTTGAAGACTTTCTGCTGCTGGTAATTGCATGATGATTCACAGTGACTTTCAGAAATCTCCCTTTAATTTGGAATAAACAAAAATATCAATGGAAGAACCATTTTCTTCATTAGAAATGCTCAATTTAGTTAAAATATATATGATGGAAGATGCTTTAAATATAAGTTTAATATTTGTGCATACCAATATAGCCAAGATTGCTAAGATATAACTCAAATATGAGAAGAGCTCACCCCAAATATATATGCCTGGAAAGAAAAATAGGAACTGGAAACATTTGTCCAAAGGATGAAATCATAGATCCAGTATCTACAACCAAAGATCAGTTTTGAGATTTCTTCCATTATTTCAATCCATTTGAAAATTTACCTAAATAGTACCAAAATTACAGAAGAAAACTCTGCATAATTTAATGCCTTTACTTATCACTAGCAATGGGAAAACACAGACCTTGTGAGATCTTCAAGTATTCTTGGCAGATAAACAGTCTTCCGGGTCATTTTTTAAAAAAAGTGTTTTTTTTTTTTAATTTTTACACAAATGGAGTACAGCTTTTCATTTCTCTGGTTGTACATGATGTAGAGTTGCAGCATTCATGCAATCACACCCATAATAATGTCCATCTAATTTCACTATCTTCTCCGCACCCACAATCCCTCCCCACCCCACACTCCCCTTTGCCCAATCCAAAGTTTCTCCATTCTTCCCTTGCCCTTCCCCATTATGAAGCAGCATCTACTTATCAGAGAAAACATTCAGCCTTTGGTTTTTTGGGGATTTCCTTACTTTGCTTAGCATGACATTCTCTAACTCCATCCATTTACCTGCAAATGCCATAATTTCATTCTTCTTTAAGGCTGAGTAATATTCCATTGTGTGTATATACCACAGTTTCTTTATCTGTTCATCTATTGAAGGGGCATCTTGGTTGGTTCCACAGTTTAGCTATTGTGAATTGAGCTGATAACAGCTGAGGGGGCTGCATCACTGTAGTATGCAGATTTTAAGTCATTCTGGGTCATTTTTAAAGGCATTGATTTTTCATTCTTACATCTACACGTTTTCTGTTAAAAGAACAAAATATTTAACACAATTGATATTCATTTCTTTTAAAATTTATTTTAGAGAGTTCTTACTTCTCCTGAAGCAATGGTCCCTTTTGAAAAGGGTAGCTATTAACATAGAGGGGAGGGAGCTTTTTCCTCCAGTCTGAGTTTTGCTTTCTCTAGAAGAGGTAATGGACTTCAGCCCTTTCAGGCATTTTTTTTTTTTTTTCTAGTTTGCACTGCTCTAATGGTGGCCATGAGAAAACAAGGAAAGATGGAGAAGCTTTGTTTGCCAGGGGGAGCCTGGGCTGATTAAGGACAATCTGAAGAGAAGGTTTTCAGAATGGAGAGCCCTCCCTGTCCAGGAAATGTCAGCGCTGGACATAGACAATCACCGCGTGGTAACATAGGGTAACTCCATGTGGTCACAGGTGCACAGAGGAGCAAGCAGTACCTCTCATTTTGGATGTTCCACAAGCCTGTTCTATTCAACAGATCTAAAACTCAACTGATTACTTCCTGAACCTCCTCCTGTGTTTGTGATCTTAATAAAAACTCCTCCTTCCATCCTGGCAGGAAAACAGAGAAACCTGGAGTTCCCTCTTGACTCTTTTATGTCCCTTGTGGCTCTGTCCTGTAGAAATTAAGCACCAATTAAAGTTTAACTTAATCTCTCTCAAATTCTGTTCCATGTTGTTCATTTTCATACTAAGTTTACATGTCATCTCCTTTACAAATAAGCCTTCTAACTTACCAGTATTATTTGCTCTAGTCTGATCTTCCTTCCTTCCTTCCTTCCTTCCTTCCTTCCTTCCTTCCTTCCTTTCTCCCTTCCTCCCTTCCTTCCTTCTTTCCTTCCTTCCTTCCCCCCTCCCTCCTTCCTTCCTTCCTTCCTTCCTCCCTCCCTCCCTCCCTCCCTCCCTCCTTCCCCCTCCCTTCTTCCTTCCTTCTTTCCTTTCCTCTTTCCTTCCTTTATTTCTCTCTTTCGAGTTGAACTCCCAGGGCACTGTACCACTGAACTATACCCCCAACCCCTTTTTATTTTGAGCAGGGTCATACTAGGTTGCCAGGGCTGACCTCTCTTGCCTCAGCCTCTCGAGTTGCTAGGATTACAGGCATGCACAACTAGGATGAGTTTGAGCTCTATACTTTCTAAAATACACATCTGATAATCCATGCTTTTGCTTAAAAGACTCCCCGTTGCCTTCAAGGAAAAAAACAAAACAAAACTAAGCTCCCTTGAAGGGAATATTGACCTTTCAATCTCTCTCACCTGCCTCTCCATAGGCTCTATTTTGGATGCCCTCTCCTTCCCCCTTTTCTATCAGATAATTCCTACTTGTCTTTCACATTTTGATCTAGTTATTATCTTCTCCTGGAAGGCTTCCCCTGACCCTACTTCTGGCCTCATCACAAAATGTTCCTGAAGGATCTCATTGTGATCACTCTGCTAGTACATCGTGCGCCTTGAAGGTTTAAGTTAAGTGTTTTTATTTTCCTAATGCATCAGCCAGCACAGTGGTTGGCACATCGTAAGTAAATGAATACCTGCATTTAGGGAATTAATCAGAGAAAGCCACACAGAGAAGGTGGAGTTGAGCTGACTCACACTCGAGGAGGGAGTGATCGGCAAGATAGAGAAGGGTATTTAAGGCAGAAGGAATAACACAACACATATGGAAGCATGAGAGGGTTTGCCATATTCAGAGAACTACAGGTGGCTTAGAACTGTGACATCACAAAGGGTGTGGTATAGGATCCTGTGGCAAGCTGTGTTCAGGAGTTCCATATTAGAATCTGCAAGTAGTTTCTCTCAAAGACTAGAAAAGCTTCTGGAGGCTGTAGTGTACTTAAGAATGAAGACATGTCCAAACATAATTTCACAATGTGTGATATTCTCTTATACTTACAAATTAGCTCCTGACACAAAATTTACAATGCAGTATAAGTTTGTTAATTATGAAAAATTATACAAGAATATTTGTTCATAGTGGACCATAAGACTTGCAGTCAGGCAGAGGGGTGAACATTTGAAGATGTGAGATGAATGTCTTTTTAAAATATCATCAGCGTATCCCAGGACCATGTATAGAATCTTCTTGAAAGTAACATCAGGTTTAGCATTAAGAGTAGGATAGGGATTGGGAGCATGGGAGGAATAGATGAACTCTAGATAGGGCAGAGGGGTTGGAAAGGAAGGGAGAGGGTGTGGGGTAATTAATGATGGTGGAATGTGATGATCATTATTATCCAAAGTACAGGAATAAAGACACAAATTGGTGTGAATATACCATGTATACAACCAGAGATATGAAAAATTGTGCTGTATATATGTAATAAGAATTGTAATGCATTCTGCTGTCATGTATAAATTTTAAAAAAGAAAAAAAAAAGAATATGAGCTAGGAACCAAATGGCTCTTCATACCCTCATCTCCTTGTTTTCTTCTCACAGGTCCTATCTGTGAAATCCTTCCGTAGGGATGTTGTGCTGAGGTATTTACTCCCATGAGCTTTTTTTTTTTTCTCTTCTTATTTTCATTTTTTCCTTTTAACTGCTTAAAAATGTCTTTCAACTTCAAAGAAATTCAATATAAAAATGAGAAAAGGGAAAACTTGAAAAATGGAATAGAAAGGGAATGATGCTTTGAAAAGTTTAGAAAAACAATTAAAACTGGTAAAGAATGTTTAAGAAGTAAAGAAAACCACATGTACAATTTTAGGTAAAATAGGTCATTAGTGTAATGGAAATAATTAACTAAATTGTCTAAGTGTGATATTTTTATTTTCCGTGCAAACAGAAGATTCAGGAACAAGTAAGCTTGGAGCAAGTTAGTGAGCAAACAGACTTCCTGACCTTGCCAGAAGGTTCAATTATTTTTTTTTTTCTCCAGTCTGTTGGAAAAGTTCAAACTGCATTTAGAACCAAGCCCCAAAGAAAATCATCAATTTATTCAAGATAATTTTTCTATATGCTGGTTCATAGGCTTATATACAAAGTTATTGTTGAATACTTTAAAAAAAACAAAAAAACCATATTACACACGTTTTCTCTTTTTTCCACCAGATAAGAAGGCATGGGTGTTTCTGATAATATTCACAACAGGAAATTTTCTTATATTTATAAAATAATTAATCTGCTATTTCTCTATTCCCTGCTAGAATCCTTTGAAATCCTCATTTGAATAAAAATTTCGATATTATTTTAGTTCCTTATTCGCTTTTGTTAGAAGAATACAAAATTTATGTATCAGGATTTTTCTCCCCCTAGAGTCAGTGCAAAAACTTTCCTTCCCAGGGTGTGGCCAGGTCCTGGTGAGTTTCCAGAGCCTGTGCATCAAGGCCTGCCTTTGTCCTTGCTCCTTCTCGGCCTCCTTCCTAGGGCTGCCGTCACTTTCTGATGTGGACTTGGAATACAGGGTGGCCAAAGGTCTCAAAGAGCCACAATTAAGTGTCCAAGGAGGCTAGCAAGACTTACAAACACTGTTTGCCACTTTTTTGTTCTCTTCACCACATAACTGTGACTCAGGTCTTTGTTTTTGAGAAAAAGAAACTGAGGTGCAGGTAGATGGTTCGCATAGTCAGTGATTCAGCGGTAGAAATCAATTTAGGAAGAACACGACTTCCTTAACTCTTTCACCTGTGTTTTTATTTTTCCCAATATTTGGTTTATGGTTATCTGTTCATTAGGGGAACAAGAGTAAATGTCATTTTAGATGTTAAGTGTACTTTATGTACAAATAACTGAAAAATTGGCCAAACTCTTTAACTTTTCATTTGTAGTTAGTTGCATAAATGTGCAGCTATCAAAATAGACATTAGAGGTTATTATAACAGTGATTTTGTTGTTATATAAACGAATTAAGGAACATTAGAAGTGGAAGTTTTATTTGTTACTTTTTAAAGAATTGGAAAGCCTTAGTGGTCAGAGTTTTCAAAACACAGCGTTTAAAATTTTTTAATAAAATGAAAGAGGAAGATAGCAAGGGTTATGTTAACTTCTTGTTTAGGTTTAATGTTTAAATAAAGTTCTCATAGTTAAAAAAAAAGTCTTTCACATTTAGTAGCCATCTTCAGTGAGGTTCTTAATATTAAAATCTTTCTAAATATCTCTGCTTTCTTGTTCTGATGGCTATTTTCATGTCTTATGCCTTTAAAAACAGCCCTTGGGATTAGAAGTTCCTTTCAGATTTTCTAGTGATGTCTCCTAGTTAGCCTGTTGCGCTCCAAGCACTTTTGAGAAGGTTTCTGGTGATTCGAAATGGAGCCTTTTAGCTGGTGGATTTGGAAGTAAGGTCTGGAGTAAGATGTGAGTTCCACCTTTAGAACCCACCCAGGAGTTGGAGTAAAGAAGGGAGAGGATGAAACATTCTATAGGGAACATGCTTTTACTGTTCCCTAGAATATAACTGCAGGGTGAGTATAAAGGAAAGCATTTAGTCATGGAGCATGATTTGGAAAAAGGTGGGTTGAATTTTAAAACAAATCTAGGTAAAGTTTATGCTCATTCAAATAATGATAGGTGTCACATTTGTCATATAAATTTTGGATATAACATGTGGTATGCAAAGGTTAATGCAGAATTCCAATACAACACAGATTAATTCATTTATTTGTTCCATGATTTATTGAGTATGTTCTATAAGCCAGATGCTATGACAGACACTGAGGAATTTTTAAGTAAATGCAATACTATCTCTGATACAGTCTAATTTAAAAATATGATGGCTGTGTATGTACAATATTAAGTAAAAGCAAGAAAAGCTATTTAAATAATTATTCCATAATTTAAATAATGTATTAATCAAAAAAGCTTAGTTGATATATTTTGGCCAGTAGGAAAGAAAGATTTTCAGAAAAAGAGATCCCTTAATAGATATTTGGAATTTGTTTCAGAAACTGAAAATTCTAGACCTATTGTCAATAACAATTTACTTTTAAACTTTACTTTTATTATTATTATTATTATTGTTGTTGTTGTTATTGTTTTAGCATAGTATCCAGAATAAAGAGCTTCTGGACCAGCATTGATGCATTGAAAATTTGGCTGCCCTCCTGGCTCTGCTCTTCGTGGTTGTGCAACCTTAGGAAGTTACATTTATCCTCTTTTGGCCTTGTTTCTTCATCTGTAAAATGATAGGATTATATTGAAAAATAGTTATGGTCCCTTCCAATTTTAACATTCTCTGGTTCTTTAATCTTTTGGATTTGAGGGTAGAATGTAGACACATGGACATGAACATATGTTGAAATATATTATTAAAAATACAAACAACCCAGAATTTTGGATTTAGTTGGAGTTATGAATGAGTTCTGGTTTGCTTACACCACAATACAGACTTCTGTGCTCTACTCAATTTATATCTTACCAACTCATCTTTTCCAAGGATAAATGCATATGTATGGGTTAGTGAGGCCTTTATGATAAACATAGCATTTAATCGCAGAAATTTAGGGCCATCCCAAACCATAGATAATGACACTGTCCTTGGCCAGGGCAGGTGCATCTCAGATAATATCGCTCAGATTAAGTGCAACTGCATCACAGCACTAGCCTGCAGGCATCCTGCTGATGCAAAGCCTGGGATCCCAACTCCCTTCTGACACTTCCCCTCTCAGTCTTTCCAGAATCCCTCCCTAAATTGGAAGCACTCTCTTCTTTATGCTCCAATTCCCCTGTGT